GGAAGATCTCTTGGAAAAGGAAATGGCAACCCACTCCACTATTCTTGCCTGGGAAATCCCATGGACAGAGGAGCCTGGCGGGCTACAATCCATGAAGATGAAGAGAGTTGGACATGACTGAGTGACTGAGCATGCACAAGTAAAAAAATAAGGACATTTGAAAGAAATATTAACTTTAGTTAATAATAATGTATCAATTTTGGTTCTTTAATTTTAACAAAAATATCACAGTAACTTAAGATGTTAATAATAAGAACAACTGGGTATTGGGGTTATGTACAAACTTTCTATACGATCTGCTATAAACTGAATATTTATTCTTCCTTCCCCAATTCATTTGTTGAAATCCTAACCCCGTAATGGGATGGTACTAGAAGGTGGGGCTCTGGGGAGGTGCTTAGTTCATGAGAAAGGTGCTCTAATGAATGAGATTTGTTGTTATTGTTTAGTCGCCGAGTTGTGTCTGACTCTTATGAGACCCCATGGACTGTAGCCCATCTGGCTCCTCTGTCAATGGGATTATCCAGGCAAGAATACTGGAGTGGGTTGTCATTTCCTTCTCCAGGGGATCTTCCTGACCCAGGAATCAAACCTGTGTCTCCTGGTTGGCAGGCGGATACTTTACCACTGAGCTAACAAAGACTGTAATGAATTAAGATTAGTGCCCTTATAAAAGACACTCCAGAGAGCTCTCTGGCCTCTTTTGCCATGCGAAGACCAGTGAGAATACAGTATGAAAACGACCATCTATCAGCTAAGAAGTGGGCCATCATCAGCCACTGAATGTGCTGGTGCCTTGATTTTGGACTTCCCAGTCTCTAGAACTATGATAAATACATGTTGTTTAACCCACTCAATCTGTGAAGTTTATAGCACCCAGACAGAATAAGACACTATCTTTATAATTTTTCTGTAAATCTAAAATTATTCTAAAAAAAGTTTTTCTAAAAAAAAAAGCTTAAAAAGAACTAATACAGTTAAATGTATACCTACTATCTAAGTCATCAATTCTATCTCTAGATATTTATCCAAGAATAAAGGAAATATATATGCAAACAAAGATGCAAACATGTATGTCCAGAGCAGCTTTATCTGTAATAGACCTCAAACTGGAAACAACCTAAATGTCCATCAACAAGTGAATGAATAACCAAACTGTTTATATCCATATAACAGAATACTACTGAGCAATAAAAATAGTGAACTACTGATACATGTAACAAGACAGATAAATCTCACAATAGTCACTTTTAGGGAAATAACCCAGATAAAAAAAGAATACATACAACATGATTCTGTTTATATAAGACTATAAAATGCAAACTGATTGATAGTGACAGAAAGATGAGTGTTTTAAAAGAAGAGGGGCACTACCAAGGGGTATATGTTCAATATCTTGATCATGGTGATGGCTTTATAGGTAGATACATTTATCAATCAGTCCTGACAGATTATATACTCTAAACTGTGTTTATTATATGTCAATTATGTGCCAATAAATCTGTTTATTTTTTTAAAAGTCCAACTAGTCATGTATGGGAGATGGGAAATAGTTATCTTAGGCTCATATAACTACTACCTTTGATCATGAAACATAGCTCTGTGCTTTTTGGTAGTGGAAAATTTGCTACTTTGTACCATTCTACCTACTACTGACTCTTTGAGGACCAGTTTCTTTCTCCAAAAAATGAAGAGTGACTGTTGAAGTTTTCTATAGGCAAATATATGAGAATAATTTTCAACATGTATCTTCTGGAATAGTTTAAAATAAATTCATTTGCACTAAACCTTAAGTTAAAATTGCTTAATAAAGTGCTATTTATTGGAAACCTTGTTAGAACTGGACATGGAAAAACAGACTGGTTCCAAATAGGAAAAGGAGTATGCCAAGGCTGTATATTGTCACCCTGCTTATTTAACTTCTATGCAGAGTACATCATGAGAAACGCTGGGCTGGAGGAAGCACAAGCTGGAATCAAGAGTGCTGGGAGAAATATCAATAACCTCAGATATGCAGATGATACCACCCTTATGGCAGAAAGTGAAGAAGAACTAAAGAGCCTCTTGATGAAAGTGAAAGAGGAGAGTGAAAAAGTTGGCTTAAAGCTCAACATTCAGAAAACTAAGATCATGGCCTCTGGTCTCATCGCTTCATGGCAAATAGATGGGGAAACAGTGGAAACAGTGTCAGATTTTATTTTTCTGGGCTCCAAAATCACTGCAGATGGTGATTGCAGCCATGAAATTAAAAGACGCTTGCTTCTTGGAAGGAAAGTTATGACCAACCTAGATAGCATATTAAAAAGCAGAGACATTACTTTGCCAACAAAGGTCTGTCTAGTCAAGGCTATAGTTTTTCCAGTGGTCATGTGTGGATGTGAGTTGGACTATAAAGAAGATTGAGTGCCGAAGAATTGATTTGAACTGTGGTGTTGGAGAAGACTCTTGAGAGTCCCTTGGACTGCAAGGAGATCCAACCAGTCCATCCTAAAGGAGATCAGTCTTGGGCATTCATTGGAGGGACTGATGTTGAAGCCGAAACTCCAATACTTTGGCCACCTCTTGAGAAGATCTGACTCATTGGAAAAGACCCTGATGCTGGGAAAGATTGAGGGCAGGAGGAGAAGGGGATAACAGAGGATGAGATGGTTGGATGGCATCACCAACTCGATGGACGTGGGTTTGGGTGGACTCTGGGAGTTGGTGATGGACAGGGAGGCCTGGCGAGCATGGAGTCACAAAGAGTCGGACACAATTGAGTGACTGAACTGAACTGAACTGATACATCAGTTAATGGTCATTTAGGCTATTTCCACCTATTCTCTATTATGAATAATGATACTGTGACTATTTATATGGGCTTCCCTGGTGGCTGAAATGGTAAAGAATCTGGCTGCAATGCAGGAGACCTAGGTTCGATCCCTGGGTTGGGAAGATTCCCTGGAAAAGGGAATGGCTACTCACTTTACATACAAGTTTTTTTGTAGATATGTTTTGATTTCTGTTAGTTCTATATAGGAGGAGATTGCTGATAACTGTTTGTTTAGTCATTTGAGGAATTTCAGAAAGTGCACCATTTTACATTCCCACCAGCAGTGTATGAGGGTTCAAATTTCTTGGCATCTTTGCCGGCACCTGTTGTAATCTGACATTTTGATTATAACCATCCTAGTGAGTATGAAGTGTTATCATATGGTTTTGACTTACTTTTCCCTGATGACTAATAGTGTCAGGTACATTTTCGTGTACTTTTTTCCCCCTATAAATATGCTCATATAGACAATATTTTTGCATAGATCCTCAGGGGATTAACAGACCCTCAAAGTTATGAAACCCTAGAGAGGTTATTGGGTAGACACATGAAGATATACTGTCATGGCTGTTATTATAATTTAATAATATAAATGATAGTAAATAATATAATGCATATTTTTTGTTTTACACTGCTATATATTCAACAAGCAAAGTGAATAAAGCACATTTTAACATTAGCTGCACTAAAATATTGATTTACTTTCCATTTCATAATTCTTAATAGGGGTGGATCCCCAATTCCTATTGAAGTGAGAAAAGTATATTATATGTCACCATCTCTGAAATCAAAGGGTAACCCCATAGACTGAGTGAGGTAGAAAAAATTACCTCTTACAAATTGTACAAATGTGATCATATACATAGGTTTAGAAAACCAGTAGAATAGATACCTATACACCAGGGAGTTATCTGTGTAAGAGGAGAGTGAAAACAGGGTTGAGGGATATGTTAACCTGAAAGTCACTTTCAGGATGAGCAGTGGGTACTGGGAAAAAATAAACACTATTCAACAAGAGTCAACAGTTATTTTGATGAGTACTAGCTTATTACTCAGAGAAGGCAATGGCACCCCACTCCAGTCCTCTTGCCTGGAAAATCCCATGGATGGAGGAGCCTGGTGGGCTGCAGTCCATGGGGTCGCTACGAGTCAGACATGACTGAGCGACTTCACCTTCATTTTCATGCATTGGAAGAGGAAATGGCAACCCCCTCCAGTGTTCTTGCCTGGAGAATCCCTGGGACGGGGGAGCCTGGTGGGCTGCTGGCTGTGGGGTCGCACAGAGTCGGACACGACTGAAACGACTTAGCAGCAGCAGCAGCAGGGCTTAATGAAAATTCTTCTCAGTAGATAAACAATATTCAAAGCAAACTCTGGGTTTCAAGTTGTAGTATCTTCCTTAAACCATCTTTTCAGGGTTTTGGATATTGAATTGAATATTTAAGTAGTGATAAAAATGAACTTCTAATTCTTCTGGAATATGTCAACTTTTTCAATGATGGCACTTTAATAGGTTGTCCATAGTATAGACATTGGCACAATTTAATTGAAATTTAGAAGGTGGGCTGCAGTCCATGGGGTCGCTACGAGTCAGACATGACTGAGCGACTTCACTTTCACTTTTCACTTTCATGCCTTGGAGAAGGAAATGGCAACCCACTCCAGTGTTCTTGCCTGGAGAATCCCAGGGATGGGGGCGCCTGGTGGGCTGCTGTCTATGGGGTCGCACAGAGTCGGACACAACTGAAGCGACTTAGCAGCAGCAGCAGCAGCAGCTTATTACTGCCACCACAGCTTTGCACCTATGATATATGAAAGTTGTCTGTTCCCAGGGAATAAATGAGTATTTTCCCTGTGGTCTGAAGTCACCTATAAAGTTTGGATCTTTGCTGGGACTGGAAAAACAGTGGCTTAAGCTTTGAAACCTTAAAGGAATTTGCTTAGGCAGCTTTGAGGGAATCATTATACCTCATGGCATATTCTTAGAACCTGAGAAAACTTCCTTATATTGAAAGTGTATACATTTGCATTTCTTAAGGCAGGCAACCTCACTCTCTTCACTAGATCAGCTTTTAGAAAATGCAATGATTTGGAGTTGCAATTAAAATTCTAGGCAGAAGCTCTTCTAGGATGTTCCATTGCTTAACTAAAAAACAGCATGGGAAAGTAAGCAATTCAAGTTCTGTACCTTATTTCACCTTCTCTAATGTGACCTGCCAGTTCCTCAATAAACTTCTCCCCTTTCATCCAGTAGATCATTGGTCCAGACTCTCCACTGAATCCAAAGAATGCTTTACAAGGGATGTTCAGTGGCTTACCTGAGAATGACAGAGAGAAAAAAACATTAGCAAATGGCTCTGGTTATCACTGGGAGACAGAAAAGGACTATTAAACATCCAAAGGAAAACTCAGAAGTGACCCATTTTCAACTCTTCTTCTAATCATCTTATCACTCACTCTAAATGAGAAAATTTTTAAATGGTTACAAGGGCTTCTGGGAAATTTTAAAAGTCAAAATATTATCAAAAATGAGAAAGTAAAGAAAGTTACCAAGTTTTTAGAACTGCTGATTTTTACTGCTTCCCTGTTATGAACTAACATGAAAAAATCAAATAGAGAGACTCCTCTTTTATTTTCCTTTTTTGAGAATATTAATAACTACTTACTTGGACTTGCCTTTGAAGTTAACATTAATCAAAGTATAAGTTAATTTTTGATTGAGAAACATAGACTATCCACTGTTACTAAGACTGAATAAGGAAATTTTGTTAGTTCTGATTATTGCATATTCTAAGAAAAATTGGATACTACAAAGAATTTTATAATTACAGCAATATCTATAGAAAGTACATAGAGCAAAAACTCAGTCTAACCATATCTTCAATCTCTTTGTGTCACCTATGGTACTTAAATAATTCTAGGCAATACTGTAGCTTTTTACTATGCATCTTTGATTATAGCTAAAAATGTTTTAATTATAAATGTATCATCAACTGTATAAGCAATTATTTTTTGCTGGCATTGATTTTATTTTCTTACAAAGTAGTTAAGTAAGGGAAGAAAGGTATAGAGAGCACAATCTTGACATTGCTGACAAAGGAATCCCCCAACTCATAAATCATAATATATCATTCTCTCTATAACATGCAATTTTTGCCCTGGTTGGAATATTAGATGAAGCAATTTCAGTAATATTTTTCCTTGAAGAGTACATGGCAAAGTTGTTCCCACAATCACTCTGAGCTATGGACAATTTCTCCTTTCTAAAATTGATCCAAAACTTCCATGTTCCAAGAACAATTACTTTCTAAAAACCTTCCTATTTAATCATGACTAGCAGATAGCTTGCTTTGAGGACCACTTACACAAAGAAACAGTTTTAATTGGAGTTAGTGTCTACACTGTGACAAAGAGGAAATTGAGAAAACCTCATAGATATATGGATGCTGGGTGATAGGCTGAGCTTAACCATAATAAGTGACTGTTACCAAATATTGGTCTTTTTATAATGCAAACTTCTCTCTGCAAAATGACATGTCATGGACCTTTGGGATCATTCAGTAATTGTCAAAAGCTTTTATATCAACAGTCTTTTATATTAATATATGTCTGAAACAAGATTATTAATTGTTGCTTTGAACATGTGTTTTGTGATACAAGCTTGTGTGAAAAATAGAAGACAGCCTTGTATAGCTAAGAGATTTGAATCCTTGTTTGGATCTATCATTAAAAAGTAGACTATATGGCCCTGGGTAGATTACCAAACTTTTTACAAACTGATTTCTCATATATGTAGTAAGAGTGGTAATAATACTTTGGAGGCTCAGATAAGATAATCTCTACAAAAATACTTGGTGAATTTGAAAGTCCCATCCAAATTTATCATGGTTGTGTTTTCCTTCCACGGCTTGGTCTTTCAACAAGTAAAGTTTGAGACATAATTCTATGTGTCAAATCAGATAGTTAAGTGTTTATTAATATCTGACCCTGTCAATCTCTTGTCCTCTTATTTATGAGTTCTAAGGGGGAATACTCTTTTCTTATCAATAGTCTATAAATATCTCCTGGATTCTAGAGAAGGTGTGATTCATCCAAGCAGGCCCTTTCTTCTCTAAATCTGAACATAGGGTCTTTTTTATGACTTATTGTTCTTCATTTCCATGAAATTGAATGTATTACAGAATGTCAAGTAGATAGCAGCAAAAGATCCAGAGACTGATAAACATTATTATAAGGATCCTAGTTGCTAAAACTACCAGAATATACATTTATACAAATACACTCTAGTTGTCATTCCTTTGGGCTATGTTGAAAGAATATATCAAATAAAATACCTTTTTTGGCTGTGTATCCACCTGCAATGCAGGAGATCCCAGTTTGAATCCTAGGTGGGAAGATCCCCTGGAGGATGGACAGGTTACCCACTCTAGTATTCTTCAGCTTCCCTGGTGGCTCAGACAGTAAAAAGTCTGCCTGCAGGGTGGGAGATCTGGGTTCAATCCCTGGGTTGGGAAAATCCCCTGGAGGAGGGCATGACAACCCACTCCAGTATTCTTGCCTGGAGAATCCCCATGGACTGAGGAGTCTGGCAGGCTACAGTCCATGGACTTGCAAAGAAAGAGTTGGACACGACTGAGTGACTAAATACAGCACATAGCACAGCATGTGGGTATTCAGGCCTGGTTTGATTTTAATAGAAAAAGAAAATTATAGCAATGTGCAAAAAGGTACCTCCTTGAAGGGGTCTATCAAAAATGGCAGTATCTGCCCTTTCCTTGATACTACACAATGGGTACTGACTATTACAGCGATTTCTCCTGGAGATATTTTTACTCTCCCATCAGACAGGTTTTTGTTAAATAAATGCAAGAGACACATTTCAGCAGCCTAGATTCTTCAAATGCTGAACAAATATCCTGAAGCCTCTGTTAACAGCCAAAAGAGGAAAACAGTCCAATTATCATACACAGTACTCTGAGGAGAGTCCCAAAATGATCAGCTCTTGTGCCAGATAGTGAGAATCAATATGTGCCAGGTTGTGGGCACCTCTTCTCTCAAAAGGCCTGGGAGGGATCTCAGCGTTGATTGAGCAAATTATCTGAAACAGAGTCTCTCCAGGCTTTTCTAAAATTTGGCTTATGTGCATATGCAAACTCCTATCTACCATTTCCATTTGCTACTGTATTGTTTTGCCTCCAGATGTTTTCAAAATCATTCCTATGGTACTGTATTCCCTACTAGTAGAGATGATCAACCCATATTTATATCTAAAGAGGATTTTACAGTAGGTTGAAGACTATCAACATAAAAATAACTCTTTCTCAATGTTTTGTGCTATTCACAAGGTAATGGCTTTAGACATAGCTCCCTTTAAGGTTCAGTCTGTATTACTGGCAATTTCTCTATCAGTTTATTAAGTCTAGACTAATTAACAAAACATATGTTCATACAAAGACTTAGAGATGGATGAAAAATGGATGTTCATAACAGCTTTATTTGTGATAGCCAAAAGCTGGAAACAGTCCAAATGTTTGAAAGAATAGATGAAAGTATACTCTGGTACATCCATACAAAAAATATTTATCAAGTATGAAAAGGATGAACTACTGATAAATACCACAACAAATGAGTTTCAAAATTTCAAAACAATTATACTAAGTTAAAGAGGCCAAACAAAAGGGTACATGTTTTGTGATTCTATTTATGTAAAATTCTAGGAAGTTAAAATTAATCTATAGCTTCTTAGCAATTTGAACATCTGTATGTGATCCAACCACTCCATATAAAAGCCTATGTCTATATAAAGCATTGTACTCAAATACTCATATCAGTGTTATTTTTCCCAAGTTAGGGAAATTTTCAGTTATTATTTATTCAAATAACTTGTGTGGCCTTTTCTCTCATTCTTCTGGGACTCCCTATGATGCAAAATGTTAGTCTGTTTGATTGATGTTATCACATAAATGTCTTAAACTTATCTTCACTTTTTCCCAATTCTTTTTCTATTTGCTGCTTTGGTTGGATAAGCTCTACTGCCTTGTATTCAGGATCACTTATCCTTTCTTCCTTTCATCTAGTCTGCTATTGAACCTCTCTAGTGTCTTTTTCGGAGAAGGCTATGGCACCCCAATCCAGTACTCTTGCCTGGAAAATCCTATGGAGGGAGGAACCTGGTAGGCTGCAGTCCATGAGGTCCCTAAGAGTCGGACACGACTGAGCGACTTCACTTTCACTTTTCACTTTCATGCATTGGAGAAGGAAATGGCAACCCACTCCAGTGTTCTTGCCTGGAGAATCCCAGGGATGGGGGAGCCTGGTGGGCTGCTGTCTATGGGGTCGCACAGAGTCGGACACGACTGAAGCAACTTAGCAGCAGCAGTAGCAGTGTCTTTTCCACTTCAGTTAGTGTATTCTTAAGCTCTGTGACTTCTGTTTGGTACTTCCTTACATTCTTTATCTCTTTGTTAAAGTTCTCATCTTGTACTTATCAATTCTTCTCCCAAATTTGATGAGTATTTTTATGACCATTACTTTGAACTCTTTATCAGGTAAATTACTTATCTCCATTTTATTAAGGTTTTTTTTCTGAGATTTTATTTTGTTGTTTTGCTTGAAACATATTCTTCTGTTTCTTTATTTTCCTTCACCTTTTGTGTTGATTTCTATGCTTTAGATAGAACAACCACTGCTTCCAGTCTTGAAGTGGTGGCCTCATGTAGGATATGAACCTTGTTGTTCATCTTGCCCTCATTTTTATTTGTCTCTCAAACCTTTTACTTGTCCAAGCAGTCTATTATATATATATATATATATATATATATATATATATAATTTTTTGCTTTCTTTTTTTCCCAATTGTTTTTATTAGTTGGAGGCTAATTACTTCACAATATTGTAGTGGTTTTTGCCGTACATTGACATGAATCAAGAGTCTATTATATTTTTAATTGTTGTTCAGTCACTCAGTCACTCAGTCATATCTGACTCTGCCACCCCTTGGACTGCAGCATGCCAGGCTTCAGTGTCCTTCACCAATTATCGGACTTTGCTCAAACTCATGCCCACTGAGTGGGTGATACATCCAACTATCTCATCCTCTGTCATCCCCTTCTCCTCCTGCCTTCAATCTTTCCCAGTATCAGAGTCTTTTCCAATGAGTCGGCTCTTCATATCAGGTGTGCAAAGTATTGGAGCTCCAGCATCAGTCCTTCTGATGAATATTCAGGGTTGATTTCCTTTAGGATTGACTGGTTTGATCTCCTTTCAGTCCAAGGGTCTCTCAAGGGTCTTCTCCAAAATCATAGTTTGAAAGCATTAATTCTTCAATGCTCAGCCTTCTTTATGGTTCACCTCCTACATCAGTACATGACTTCTGGAAAAACCATAGCTTTGACTATGTCAAACCATAGCTTTGAACTTTGTTGGCAAAGTGATGTCTCTGGTTTATTAATATGCTGTCTAGGTTTGTCATAGCTTTTCTTCCAAGGAGCAAGTGTCTTTTAATTTCATGGCTGCAGTCATTGTCCGCAGTGATTTTGTAGACCAAGAAAATAAAGTCTGTCATGCTTTTCATTGTTTCCTCATCTATTTGCCATGAAGTGTTGGGACCAGATGCCATGATCTTAGTTTTTTGAATGTTGAGTTTTAAGCCAGGTTTTTCACTCTCCTCTTTCACCTTCACCATTTTTAATAGCTCATATTAATTTTGGGTGTGCCAAGTCTTGTCAGTGTCCCAAAGGGGAAGACCATAGTTAGCAGTTAGATTCAGGCTGATTGGAACTCAGACTCACAAGTAGCAGCTTTTAAAGTATGGGTATATAACAGTCCTGTGGATCCACAAGTGTAATTCCTGCTAGCCACCAGAGTCAGGCAATCCGGTGGTGTCCACTGGGGAAACCTGGGGTTCCAGATGAATCTATAAGCTCCTTACTGGGAGACACGAGTGAGCTGGACTGAGCCAGAGGGAGAGCACATAGACGATGTTCCCTAGGCTGCATTCCCTGAGAATACCTCCAGAGACTTTAGGTGTGAGCCAAACCTGAAGCTGAAACCCCAGGCATAGCAAGTATGCCTCTTTCACTGAAAGATGGGATGTGTTCCAGTCTGTTGTCTGTGCAATGCTCTGGGGGTGGTAGTCTGTCAATAATCCCCTCTTCAATTGTTACAGTCCCATGGGATTCAGGGTTGCAAGTTCTCTAACTCCCAGAATTGGATGATCAAGGGGCATTTCCTGGCAACAGCTGCAGAAACCAAAGCAGCAGATGTAAAATCTGGGAAACCAGATACAATAAAGAATTCCCATCTGAAAAATACTGGTGCTCTGGGGTGTTAAAGAGGAAGAGGGCAAAGACAGTGCCAGTCCTCTGAGATCTCTGGAAAGGTTTGTAGTCAGCCTTTGCATGCTTAGTCACTCAGTCATATCTGACTCTTTGTGATCCTATGGACTGCAGCCCACCAGGCTTTTCTGTCCATGAGGATTCTCCAGGCAAGAATACCGGAGTTGCCATGTCCCATGCCAACATGGGTTGCCATGCCCTCCTCCAGGGGATCTTTCCAATCCAGGAATCGAACCAGGGTCTCCTGCTTTGCAGGCAGATTCTTTACCAGCTAAGCTACCTTTAGGTGTGTTTAATTAGAAGGCTGCTCCTCAGACTGCAGCCATGATGGTAAATTAACAGGCCTCTTTCATGGTAAGATTGAACTCCTGGGTCTATTGTGTCTTCTTGTGCCCTGAGAGTGGTAACTGTTGAAGAGCTCTTCCTCTATTGATTACAGTCCTTTGGGATGTTCAAGTGTAAGCCCCACTGACCCCCAGAACCAGGTGATATAGAGGTATCCCCTGGAAGCAGCTTCCAAAAGCAAGGTACCAGATGTAAAAACTGGGGTACCAGACATGCGTGAAAGCTCCCCTCTTGGAGACACTGGTATTCTGGAGCAGGGAGAGGGAAAGTGCAAAGATGACACCCACTGAAAAAAGGAAAAAAAAAAAAGATAATGCTTTTCAGCTTTAGCAGGGAAGGAGAGTGTAAGAATGGCACCCTACTGCCTCTGTCCCTAGAACACTGGTGCTTTAAGATTAACAAATAAATCTCACATAAAGGCTGGATGCTTTTCAAAAGCTGCATCTCTGCTAGGCCCTGGGGTGAGTGAGTCTGCATATGCGTGCTTTAAGAGCTGCTTCTCAGTTCCCTATGGCCTTTTGGGTCTCAGGACATAAGCCCTGTTGGTTTTCAAAGTCAGATGTTATGGGGATTCATCTCTTAGGTGCAGGTCTTAAGACCTTAAGTTGTGGTGACTGATGTGGGGCATGAATCCGTCACTCTTTGGGAAGAAGCTGCAGGTTGGTGAGCTCTCTCCCCTACTGGGAGTTGCCACACTTGGACCAGAATTTATGGTGAGTTTGTATCTCAGCCTCTCCTGCCTGCCTTTTTCTCATTTATGAAACATAAAGGAGTTCCTTAGCTTTCACAACTTTTTCAGAGAGAACTATTCCATATGTAGCTGTAGATTCAATGTGTCTGTGAGAGGAGATGAATTTAGGATCTTCCTACATTATTATCTCAAACTACCTCCCTATAACAGCTTTATTTGTAAAAGTCCAAAACAACTCAAATTTCAATCAACATGTGGATGGCTATTGATACATCCTACAATGTGAATAAAATTCAAAATCTTTAGGCTGAGTGAAAGAAGCCAGATACAAAAGACTGTATACTGTATGATTCCATTTATATTAAATTTTCAGAGAACACATGACTATAAAAACCGAAGCACATCAGTGACTACTTATGGCTGGGGTCAGGGACTGACTGAAAACCCAAAGGAAGAAACTCTTAGGAAACGATGGCAGTGTTTTAAAGTTGCATTGTGGCAATGATGTAAAGTAATTAGCCTCCAACTAATAAAAATAAATGGAAAAAAAATAAAGTTGCAGTGTGATGATGGCTACACAAATGTATAAGTTTACTAAGAGCCAATGAGTGATACATAGGTGAACTGTATGATATGTAAAATTCAGGTAAATAAAGCTGTTAAAAATTTAAAAAACCCATGTTCTCAGGAAGTTTATATCTGCGAGTAGAAAGAGGAAGAGGTGAAGGACAATACACAGTATTAAATAAATTAAATATAATGTAAGCCATATACATGTTCTAAGAGATCTCAATCTTTGTGTTTTCAAAGCTAAAGTCAGCACCCTAATCACTGAATTGTCTATGCTAGAGTCTCCTGCTAGCCCAAAGAGATTCTGTTTTGCATTTCAAATCTATATAATTGCTCTGGGACAACTTTAAAAGAACCAGAGGCTGAATTATCTAATGTGAGAGAATTGTAGGTAAGAGTGGAATGATAATATCTATTTAATTTTGGCCACACATTTTAATCTCCCCCTGTTCCTAGACTTTCTAAGAATTTCTCAAGGTCAAAAATTTGATTTTCAAGTTCTTTGTTGATATCTCCCCTTCCCCCCCATCCTGTGATGGACTATGGATTTTATAAAGGCCACAGATAACCAGCAAGGCTCTACTATTTCCACACAGTTGTTCTTCATTCTTTGTTTTTCTCTTTAAACAATTTTCAACAGACTTCTTTTACTGTCTCTTTTAAATTGCTCTATTATCTCTATTTCTTGGGATGCAATATTTTCTATCTGTGCCAGTGGAAACACACGTATGGTGGTTAATTTTCTTGTGAAGTTTGTAATTTTGTTACTGTATTTGCATCTACAATAAGGATTGTTTACTTTGGGAGCCCTGGGTGGTGAGGGCTGTGGAGGCATTCCCTCAGAGTGGTTCCAAGTTTGCCTCTGCAAGTCCTTACAAGTTTCACTGGTTTGGAAACAGTGTTTTCTGTTAATTTCTTAGCTTGGGGGTTTCCACCACATATAGGTTGTGTGAATTTAAAGTCCACATCTATGTTTGGTACAAGTTTAGAGTTCCGATTTCTCTGGAGTGTCTCTTCATTCATGGCCATGACCCTGGACAGAATGTAAATTTCCTGGCCACTTTCCTAGACCACAGTGCAGAGTTTTCTAGTTCTTGTTTCAGGAACTAGAGTTTCAGGCTTCATAGATCCTTCAAGCTTCGAGACTTTTGCTGGGATCTCAGTTCTAGCTCCACACTTCACACAGATCTGTGGTTCTATGATCTAACCCTGAGTTCAAGCCCTTAGACTTTTAAGGTGCTTATCTGATCCTGATATCCTCAGGTGGTATTTAGCTTTAGTTTGTGCTCCCTTCTCTGGGTTTGAGTCCCCTTTTTCATTCCTAAAGCTTAGGAATTTCCCCTACTTGCTATCATGCTGAGCTAAGCATGTACAATCTTTGTTTTATTTTGACCAGCATTTCTCTGCATTTAGAACCAGAGATGATTCTTTACCACATCAGTCTATCCTATTAACTAGTTGTATAAAGTTCCACCACCAAAACCTGCAAGCAATATATCTTAAGCCTGAATGATCAAATTAATTTTACTTTCATCCAAGGAGTTAAAGCTAAAATTTCTATTCCTGTTACTGCTAACATAAATGAAAGTTCTCCTTTCTTCCCTGGGCTCACACTTAGATTTGACCTTTACAAGATGAGATGAAAGGAGGAGTGGATATTTGTGATGTCATTGTAAAAGCTACTCACCTTCCTGCTGTGCTTTATGTACTTAAGCTTGTAGCTTCAACTTTCAAGAGCTTTATTCTTTCAGAAGAGTGTGTAATTAGGGCACACACCTTTTACTTATTTGCACATGAGGTGCTGAGTGTCCTGATCACATGCTCCAGTCACATGCTTGTAACATTAACACTGATTAATGTTAAGACACACAAAACATAGGGGTATGTGTCTCATTCTTTCACTTGTGAGACACATTTTAAGAAGTGTGAGACACATTTTAACAAGTTTGTTCTAAAATACGCTGAAGTTTGTAAATTATTTCCTCAACAACTTATAGCAGAGCTGAGGTTATCGTTATATTAATGTCACACTTCTATGAATTCAAATATGCCTTCTCAAGTGAAAGAGAAAGAATGGAGTCATAACTTTATGGGGAATCCCCATTAAGAATGCCTGATACTGAATGTCATCTGTCCAGTGTGTTAAAAAGGGAGAAAGTTGAGAACCACCAATCTAGGGATGTGATTTTCTTGAGTTGAAGAAAAACATATTCTTCCACTTTGAAAAATTACACACACATACACACACACACACACACAACAGCTCAGGTGTGGTTGAATCACAAGATACTTCTTCATTGCTCACATTGGCCTTTCCTATCAATCATTTAATATGCTAAGTAACCATTTGTAGCCCAAACTATATTGACAAAAGCTCCAGGGTTCTTGATTTCACTGTGATTACAGTCTCAAAGTGAATGGATTGGACAGAAATAAACTGAATTTCCTGAGGTAAAATAATGTCCAGCTTCAATAATGAAAAATAATCCATGTCTTCTAATATGTTAATACAATGTTCAATCTATTATAGAAAATGTTGCCTTCCCATTTCTATGGGAAGAAAGCAGCCTTGACATTCCAGAGTGGTTTTGTGTGGCTATTCCCCCACATCTTTCTACAGAAGAACCCTCTTGCCATCATTTTCTTAATGAGTTGATACAACCACTGGAATGAATTATAAATTATAGTTGAGAACAAGCTATTATGAAGTTTAAGGCAGGAAAAAATGTATTTCTTCCAGTAAGAGTCAATAGGAGATGAAAAGTTGATGAGATAGAGAGAGGAGATAGTTGTCCCAGCTGGTGGAAACTGAAGAGATTAAGATTTTGTGAGAAAAGAAAGTGAATACCAAAGCTAATTGACAGTTGACTGGGGAAGGCAAAAGACTGGGAGAAAATCCTTGAGTACCCTTATACTAATTATTTGGAAATGGTGGAAAATGTGTGTACATGAGAGAGAGAGAGAGAGAGAGAGAGAGAGAGAGAGAGAGAGAGAAGCTTACTACTCTTTCTTGTTTTACAATGCATATAAAGGAAACATTTTAGAGGTGATGCCCACAGCTATTTGTCTATACTAAAGACAAAGAGCATAGCAGCAGGACTCAAAGATGAGACTGTTTTCATGAATAAAAGTATAAGCAATGAGGTTGCTTTGGTCTATAATTGGCTCTTAGGGATAAGTGACACAAAGTCCAGTGGAAAAGGAAATGTTTAGTTACAGGATTTACCAAGCCGTCTCATCAAATAGCCTCAATCCCAATAGAAATTTCTTTTACTGAATTTCATCAAGGGTGAATAAACATAACTCCCTTTGTGACTATGTAGCATGCCCATAAACCTTACTTACTTTACTTCTTTCATCCCCTTAGAACAGGGCTTGGTTGGCTCAGGGTCTGAAGATACTTTTCTCATTCATGTTTCTGATTCAAGGGCACAAGGTGTAGGCAAGGTAGAAACACAGCATCGGAAGAGTATTGGGGTCAGGACACTGAAGTTATAAGCCTGGTCTTCTCACTAAGTTTCTGTGATTTTATAAGTTCATTTTTCCAATAGCCTCCATTTCTTCTTCTAAAAAATGATAATCAGCTAAGAGAATTTCCAAGGACCTTTTCAGATCTGACATTCTTATATTTCAAGAAGCTGGCCTACAATGGTGAGTGTTAGGATTTTCAGGTGGGAAGAATTTCTCACATTGGAGTGCAAGCTCTGAAATAGCAGTTCTTTCGGTAAAAGGAAGAAGATGAGAGTCCATCTGCCCTGGGTAAATTTTGGCTTTAGCTCCAAGTTCTCTTAGTCCTGGTATTTCATGTCTGAGTCTGCCTGCCTGCTGTGCCTGGAGCCCTAGTTCCTGTGTATCTCCCCAACCTCTGACTGTTTATTGCAGAATGAGTTTCCTGCCTATGACTACTACCTTGCCTTGAACCCTAGTTCCTCTCTGTCCCACTGGCCTCTAGTTGCTTATGTTGGCTCTGCTGATCTTGGCTTATGACTCTGCTTTCCTTGACCTAGTGCTTTCCGTATCTCGGCTTGACAAAGGGATTTTTAAAAAGTCCCCAATGGGAAAAGACAAAGACCTTGGGTATTAACTCACTCCACTAGCAAGTCCAATTCGTACTCAACAAATTGAGATGTGGAGAGAATTAAAGTAAGCAAATACTCTGTGTGCGTGTATGCAAGTGTATATATAGTTGCAAAAGAATTCATTTGGATTGAATTAATAGTTCAAAATTAAATGCACATGATTCTTGGTAATTTGTTAGGTGGAAGAATAAACAGACAACTTTTAATGCTTTAATATTAAATGACTTCATTTTAAAAAATTTCCCTTATTGATCTAGAAATGTAGATTTGTAGAGTAGCCAACCTGTGTAATCAATTTAAAATTATTTAAATCCATGTGAGATTCATATTTAAAGCTATTTTCATTTGTTTCAAAGTTGTTTACTTGGTTTCCAACTATATGGAATTAAATATTAAGTTTTATAATGTTATGTCTGTTCTAGGAACCAGGCAAGAGAATAGTAAAAATAAAACACAGGGTAACCATTCCTTTCTCTAAAGGGAGTCACCTTTGTCATTTGAGAACATCTGACTGGAAGCAAATCTTTTTCACTTTCTCCCCTGTTTCATCAATAGTACTTCTGAATCCCTTACTGATAAGATCACAACTTCCGGTACTAGGGCTGAATGGCTAGTCAAATTCTGCTATACCAGTTCAGAGGAGAAATCCGTCAATACAACCATAGTAATTCTTACTGTGTATCTGAAGACTGATCCAGGTATTTTGTGTGACTGAGGAAAATGCTGATCTGTTTTCTGGGCATAACAGTGTGATTTAAAATGTGGTTGTGCAAAGTTTTAAAAAGTCTTCAACAAAAGAAAAATAAAATGTGGTTCTAGTTTTAACATAGGTGGCATTCACTTTGATAAAACTTGCTGGCTGTTTACGGGCTGTGACTCCAGAATTGATGTTAAAAATAATCCCACAAGGATCCTTTAATACTTCAGAAAATGGAAATATCAAAGTTTAATGCCAGTTGTGAAAATGAAACCTGAAGATATCCACAGTTTTCTGATCAGATTCCTGTCACAGTATTGATTTTCTGAAGTCCCACAAGGGTTCTTTTGGACTATTGATTTCCTTTGACAACAAATTCCCCTAGTCTTGCCATTCATTATATTCTGTTTTGCTGCCTACTTGATTGACATGCCTCTAGGTTCCTCTTTCCTCTTTTGCCTATTTAAAGCCTCACCCTTCAAGGTCTAGCTCAAGTGTAATCTATACCATGAAACCAGCCCTGACTACTCTAAGTGCACACTGACTTATCTCTTTTTCTCTAATCTGTTTTCATATGTTCATAGGGAGTTAAGCATGTAGCTGTGTTCCACTTCACAAATTATTACAACAAAAATAAACCAAGTGACTAAAATGTTCTAAATTAATCCCCCAAAACAGTAAGGTACTAATATTCTCAGTTTACAAATGAGCAAACAGAGCAGAGAGAAGTTAAACATCTTGTCCAAAGCCCCAGATATTGTGAGAAAGATGTAAAACCAGATAGTTTAGCTCCACAGCCAAAGATACTAACCGCTCATCCATACTGCCTTTACCTAGAAGTTTGTATCATTTTCCAATTAAATGTTATAGTATTTAAAAGTGGAAATCAAATCTTATATTTTGCTTTCATTTCCATAGAGAGATCAGCATAGTGCAAGTCATACAGTTGTGCCCAACTGTACTTGCTTGATTCTCAATATCTTAGCTCAAGTCTCAACTTTTTTCTTATTTTTAAGTTTTTCTTTTATGGCATTAAATATATCCTTGTAAGCTATCAAAAATCCATTTTGGAATAATAATCAAATGTCCTGCAGTTCAAGTTTTTCCTTTCTTTCCCCAACTCTCTTAAAGTGGGAGAAGGGAACAATGGAAAGGGAAGAGGAACACACATAATCCATCCTTGTCCCATCAAGGCACAATCAACAACAAGATGAGAGGAAACTTCAACGATTATATTCCTGTGAAAATTAGCC